ATGGTTCTTTGGATAAACAACAACAAAACGGTGTTTTGTTGCCAGTTCAAGCGCCTACAACGATAAGAGCTAAGCCTTCTAAAGTTTTAAAGGAGAAGGAGACATTTGTTCATTGGATCTGTAAGTTTGCAGGTCGAAAAAAGGTTGGAATGTTGCTTCTTTGTCTAATCTCTGCTGCTGTTTTTGTTTGGGTCTTGTATGTTGGCAAAGGTTGGTTTCTTTTTCCCTTTGTAGCTCATCATTGATGGATTATTCTCGTTGAAATTTTAGAAATCAAGGGTAGTGAATTAGTGAATTTTTAGGGTGGTTGCTCTGATTCTTTTTAATGAAAGAAGTGGTCCAAATTCTGGGTTTACATTGATTAGACTTGGACTTAATGTTTCCATTTTGGTTAGTGTGTTCGAATAAAGAACTAGACATCTATATGCTTGCTCATGAGCTCAATTTCTGTTGAGGGAAATAATGTTAATCATTCAACTCAATTGAATTGCTTTTCTTCCTTTACAAACTTTGAATGTACTTTTTGATTCAATGTTTATGTTGGATTTTATATATGTGTGTGTGTCTGTAGTTTTTGATGAGTGTTAGATCCTAGTGCAAGCTAATTTAGTTTGCTTCCCTCTATGTTTTGGTTTTGGAATTCTAGACGCCAATTGATAGTTGAATTTGAATTGATTGTGGCTTGTATACAGGTGAATACCAGGAAAGTGACAATATCCGTAAGGTAAACGATAGCTTGCATCTTAATAGTTCCGGATTTCCCCTGATAAACGAAGTGCAAAGTGTCAAAATAGACAATTGGACAACTTTACTAGCCAGTGACGGTGTTGAAGGAACTGATTTTAGAGTAATGCCCCCTCCTCCTCCTCCATATTTTCTTGGCTACACTCTTTCCCCAGGGCATCCATGCAACACTTTTAGTTTACCCCCTCCACCAGCAGATAAGAAAAGAACGGGACCACGTCGTAAGCATTCTTTTGTTTAGTAAATTTCTCGAATTATTTCTTATTCTTTTTAGTTTTAAATTTTGTATTTTGACATTGTTAGTTCTGGTTTTGCCTCGTTGAACATTAGTTTCTGAGTTTTCTTGCTTGTTTTTGTCGCAGCTTGTCCTGTATGTTACCTTTCGGTGGAAGAAGCTGTTGCTTTGATGCCAAAAGTTCCATCATTTTCTCCAATACTTAAGAATTTAACATATATTTACGAGGAAAATTTAAAAAAAGAGAATGAATTCGGTGGTTCGGACTTTGGTGGGTATCCTACTTTGAAGCAACGGGATGATTCATATGATATAAGAGAGTCGATGAATGTGCATTGTGGGTATGGTTTTTTTTGTTCTTTTTTAGGGTTTAAAAGTAAATATGATTTGGTATTCTTATATTTGCAAGTTTGCCTGTTTAGTACCTTTGATCGATGTGTATCGTGTTTTCCAGATTTGTCAAAGGAAGCAAACCTGGCCTTGGGACAGGATTCGACATTGTTGACAAAGATCTTCTCGAGATGGAGCAATGTCATGGAGTGGTGGTTGCATCTGCGATATTTGGTACCCGTAATTGTACTATATTTCGTCTTATTTTTCAGTTTCTGGATTGGAGACCCTTGGTTTTTATCGAATAACCGGATTCATTTTCAGGAGCTTTCGACATTATACAACAGCCAAAGAATATAAGTGAATATTCCAAGCAAACTATTTGTTTCTACATGTTTGTCGACGAAGAAACAGAGGCTGATTTGAAAGCAAATGGTAGCTTGGATGAGAGCAAGAAGATTGGAGTATGGAGAATTGTTGTTGTTCGTAATCTTCCTTACACTGATGGAAGGCGCAACGGAAAGGTAAATGTTCAGAATACAGATGATATGTCCTCTGAGTTTAGATCTGAATTAGAGAACCCGAGTTTTTAGTAGATTATGATGAATATTGTCCACATTGCTTGATTCACTCTTTGAGAATGGAACCGAGAAATAAAATATTGAGACAATGCATCAACTTGATGCCTTTTGACTTGTGATTTGCTTGTAACAGATCCCAAAGCTTCTAACTCACAGGCTATTTCCGAATGCTCGGTTTTCTTTATGGATTGATGGGAAACTCGAGCTTCTTGTTGATCCATATCAAATTCTAGAGAGGTAATTTGGAATTCCATCCAGCTTCCTAATTAGTAAGATTCTTAACTATCATATGTTGAAGTTGCACACTGTGATTACTCTCAAGAATACTGCAATGTTAAAAAGTTTTGGTCCCGATGTTTGTTTATTCTAACTGTTCCAAGTATTCCTTCAGGTTCTTGTGGAGAAAAAACGCTACATTTGCAATTTCTAGGCATTATAAACGCTTTGATGTTTTTGTCGAGGCTGAGGCAAATAAAGCTGCAGGCAAATACGATAATGCTTCCATTGATTTTCAGGTCGATTTTTATAAAAAGGAGGGTTTGACCCCATATTCCGAAGCAAAACTCCCTATCACGAGTGGTATGCCCCAAGATACTTCTTTGTATGTTGTTTTGTTTGATTCCGTCTTGTTTTAGCTTTAACCGAGGTTTGATTCAATGGCCGGTTTTGCAGATGTTCCTGAAGGATGTGTAATAATAAGGGAACATGTTCCTGTTAGCAACCTCTTCACTTGTCTTTGGTTCAATGAAGTTGACCTTTTTACTTCAAGAGACCAGATTAGTTTTTCGATGGTAAGGGATAAGATTGCAGCGAAGACGAATTGGACTTTGAATATGTTCTTGGACTGTGAACGGCGCAACTTTGTCGTTCAGGTATTTACTTTTTTAGCAGTGTAGTTAAATATGATAGAATTCTCATGGAATATCAGAAATGTTCTTGGACTGCATATCACGTCGAACATGTTCCTGTTCTTGTTCTTTGTATGGATGATATTCTGTCATGCACATACCATGCTCGGATTTGGATGATATTGTGTCACGTGGATACCATGCTCGGATTTCGATGATATTGTGTCACGTGCATACCATGCTCGGATTTGGATGATATTGTGTCATGTGAATACCATGCTTGGATTTGGATGATATTATGTCATGCGCATACCATGCTCGGATTTGTTCTAGAACCTAGAATCTAACTATCGAATTTTACATCGAATAAAACCGTTGTTTCTCTTGAGCGACCTACTTTTCTCATTGCCTCATTTGTTACTTGCAGAAGTACCATAAGGATGTCCTAGTGCATTTAGCTCCTCCGGCCATTTACCCTCCACCGCCACCGCTACCGCTACATTCGGCCAATGATCCGCTCCGGAAGATCTTACCGAGACGCGGAAGGGATAGGAGGTCGGGTTCTAGGCGTCATCACAAAGTCGGCAAGGAAATTATTTTGAGTTGAAATGTTTTTGCTGAGGCAAATTAAGAATGTTGTAAGTTTTGTTCCATAGAAACTAGAGTCAGTCCAATTTCTTTCCCTTCACTTTGGTTGCATTTTAACTCTGGCAATTGTCCATTTTGATTCATTTTTTTGTTGTATATATATACGCACACATCAAACATAGTTTTTATTATATATTATATGAATTTTGGTCCGTATTTTGTTGTTTTAGTGATAGCAGCTTTGTTTGTAATTTGGAATTAAAAATTAATAAAAGTGGATGACATCGGCATTGTTCTTCCTCTTGTTTCAGTTTCTACTTGATAGAAGGCCAGGGTGTTTTTTTTTTATGGAATTGGTAGTGGCTTGATTCGTGTAACGATGTTACTAATTCACTCGCGTGGCTCCCTGGCCTTGAATAAGATCGCCATTGTGGGATAGTTAGAACGCACCAGCTCATGGATTTATGGCTTTTCTGATATAACTCTTTCCTCAATTGTAGTTTGAGTTAGGCTTTTGACCTAATTTTTTTAGTTAGCCATACCGTTTTCTTCCATTTTGTTGAAACATCTGTGACGTTCAAGTGTAAATTATCTCTCCACCATATTTGAAATATATTATATTCTACGACTCAATGAGTGTTAAAAGGAGTCTTGTTTTCCTTTAAAGAATTGAGTTTGAACAACTATGTCTGTAAAGTGTGTTTGTTAAAGACTAAAAAAGATTATGAACATATATTATTTTGTACTCGTTCCAAACTATTAAAATGAAGATATTATAGGTAATGTCAACATCTATCAGAAGATTTGACTGTTAGGTAATTAATATATATATATATATATATATATATATATATATATATATATATATATATAGAAGATTTGAATGTTAGGTAATTGTAATATATATATAAAATATTGGTGATCAAAATAAAAGCGTCCTTAAAATTGAATGACCAATTATAGTTTACTTTAGGGTTTAATGTATAAGTGACTAAAGTGAACAATTGTTATAAGGACAACGATTAAATTGAGAGGACTTTTTGTGATCAAAATGAAAGCAACGTAAACATTGGTTGACCATCTAAGTAATTTACCACAAGATAATCTATTCGTATGACCACTTAATTATTGTCTTTTTTCATTTTGACCACTAATTTTAAAATTTTATCAATTAGACCATTTAACTATTTAAGTATATCAATCAAGCCACTTGTCATCGAGATGATTGTCAAAACAATTGGTATAATTACACATTTGATCTTCAATAATTTATGCATTCTATTAATTTAATTCAATTAAATAAATTTAGTTTGCAGTTAGATGATGAAATGTGTCAATATCATATTCAAAGATATTTTCTTAATTTTAATTATTTTATTTTGTACTCAGTATATAAATATTAAGGATCAAATGTATAATTATACTAATTATCTTAACATTTACGTCATCTCCTTCATTAAATGTTAATGATAAATCAATTGATTGACACACTTAAATAGTTAAGTGATCTGATTTGATAAAATTTCAAAATTAATGGTTGAAATAAAAAAAGGTTGATAGTTAAGTGGTCATATAAATAGTGTACCCTTTACCAGAAACTCTCAAACCGCATGAAACCGACAAATTGGCGTTAAGCTGAAATTAGCTTAATTTTTTTGGCCATTTTCAAACGTAATATAGCTTTGCTGTTCATCTTCCTCTTTTCTTCTTGTTTCTTCCGTTCCCAAAATGAATTTGGGGTTAAGATTCAATTCCACTACAACAATGCCTATTTCATCAAACTTTTAACAGCCCCCGCACCGATCGATTTCATAATTAAACACACACACACAAAAAAAACCTCCCACAAAAATGTCAACATCGTCATCGGCTTTCAGGTTGATCTGTGTCCTCCACTCGGTGATCGCCTTAACAAGCGGCGCACTCATGATGTTCTACATGAAGGAGATGTACGCCTTCACGCACGGGATAGAGACCGCCGCCAAACTCCTGGGCTCCACCCCGCACGACCAGCTCTTGATCCGGACCTCCGATTCCTTCTCGGGCCTGCTCTTGTTCGCCATCGGCTTCTTGCTTTTCATGGTCTCGTTTGTTAAAGACAGGGAGTTTCAATCGTTTTTCGCCAAAGGGTGCACGATTCTGCATGTTTTTCTGGCGTTGTGGAGGTTCTGGTTCGAGAGGAGAGTGGAGGATTTGGCTTGGGATTGCCTTAGAGAGACGATCGGTGATATTTTGATGGGTTTTTCTTGGATATTCTTTTTGGTTTACTCTTGGAGAGAAAAGTATGATTAGATTTTTGAAATATTTTAATTTGTCTGTTTAAACTTGCATTTTCTTGTTCCATGTCTAAATTTTGTTTAGTTCATCATGATCTGGGTTCTTTTGAAATTTAGTGTATGATCATTGGGTATGGACCGCAATTTGATATTTGAAGAAAGAAAAATCATCTTTGTTGATTGATACGCATATATGGGATTTAAATATCGGTATGCAATCGAAATAGAGGTTATTAAATAATTTTTTATATTATTCGAAATCATTATTGTATGAACATAATAATATATTTAATATGTTCGTATTCATGATAAATATAACGGTAACCGCATCGCAGTTTAAAGTTATGCTCGAACCAAACAATTTTGTTTCGATTCCTTTTTTTATTAACTATCAATTACATTGTAAAAAAGGTAATTTGTGAACTTTTATGAATATGTGCAAGAGGAATTGGTCCTATATTTTCATAGTTGATGATGTGCCTATTTAGGAATGGTTTGGTTCATGAAATGTAAAATTATCTTTGGAAATGAGATTACTGGAATATTATATTACTTAACATATTACTGGAATGCCGTATTACCTTGTTTGATTTATTTGATATGAATGTAAGACTACAATGTTTGGTGAAGTAATATAAGATATACAAAATGTATCTTTTACTAAATTATCCTTGAGATATATTATCTTTTTTAACAAATAAAATTCTCAATATTAGCGTCAATATATTTACAAGAAAATTAATAGAAAATATAAAATTTCTATTATTTCTAATTTTAATATTTTTAATAAAATTTGTATAGAAATAACAAATATATATTTTTTATTTTAAAATTATTTCTTTCTTTGAAAATATTAAAACATATTTACACCAATATAATCATGTAATTCCTTTTATGTACTAAAATATTAGGAGATGTACATACTTACACCAGTGTAAGTATGTATTTATTTTTAGGTTGAGAAATATACATACTTACACCAGTGTAAGTACGTGTTAATTGATATAATTTTTTATTTATGTTATATCCACGAGTTGTACAAAAATTACCATATCAAATTATGTGACAAAATTAATAGAAAATATTAAAAATATAATACGAAAACCTTTTATGGAAATTAATCATAAATAATACATGTAATAAAACATTGAATAAAATTTGTAAATAAAACACTCGTAAAAATGATCAAAATATAATAAAAATTGATATATTTTATTTTATAATAAGTATTAATAAATAAAAATATATATATTTATACCTGTGTAATTATACACAAAACAAATGATCATTTTGAAATAGTTATATTATTATCCAAAATTGAGACAATTGTCTAATACTAAAAAAAAAAAAAGATAGGGAACGAGATTCTCGGAATACAAGATAAAAAAGGTACTGTATGTAATGTTTTATTACCTCCCGGTGAAAGTGTTTTTGAACAAAAGGTGAGTGTGATTTTGAAAAATTTATTTTCCTTAGTAATGATTTTTTCGTTGATCCAAACGCCATTATTGCATTGGTTGGTGCTGGTAGGCCATTCATCTTTCATTCAAGTTGGACTTGTCTTTAATGTTGCGTTTTTAGAAGTCTTTAATTTTTTAAAGTTTGTGATTTAAATATAACGTGAACATAAATTGAAAGTAAATTTGATATGAATTGTGACCTACGGTGGGGTGTATTTACTTTGGTTCGATTTTTTAATATAAGATGAATTTTTGAAATATGAAATCAAAATCAAACCGCATAAAAACTGAAAATTCTGTTCCGTTTGATTTTTAATAAAAAAAATTCTCATATTATATAAAATTTTAAAATATGAAGCTGAAATCAAAATAGAATGGTAAAAAAAAAACGAAATTTTCCAGTTCTGGTGAATTCAGTTTTACTGTTTTTAATTATTTATCATTTTTCAAAACTCAACTCTTGCTACGCGGATGATCTTGTTGGAAAAACTCTCAGAAAAAATATGGTTCTTCAAGTAGGTGACGTAAGCCGATACTTGGACAAGAGAGGTCCCTCTGAAATTAAAATATTCTCGCTTTTTTTGCATCAGCTACAAATAAAACGGGGACGATCGATGGGTTCAGATATTAAAGTCCAAATGGTTGGATATGGACCATTCCATTCCAATGGGAAACTGAACAGTGGCATAATTTTTGGGAGACCTTACAGGGGTTCCAAGCTTCATGCCTCGATTGGGTCTAGCTCCACCCCCAAAGTCGAGGCTTTCATATGGCTAGTTATGCAGAATCGAGCTCCCGTCAAGGTTGGAGGCTCAAATTCAGTGTCTGACATTGTACTATCGTGGAATTTTCAGCGGTTAGGGGAGTGTGCTCTGCTTTTCCTCAGACCCTATAACCTTCATTATTGCGTGGCAAGCTACATTCTGTGGGAGTTTTTCTGACCCTATATGGTCCCTTGTTCCTTTTGCAATAATTTGGTCCTTATGGCTGTGTTGAAACGAATGGTATTTTAGAGGTAAAAATCTTGATGCGGATCAGCTCCTCCTCCTCATCAAAACTCGTTTGGCTCGGTGGTATAAGGCTAAATACGCGGACTCAAACATCGCAATGAGTGACTTAATTATTAATCCATCCTTTGTGGGGTATAATTCTCTTCGCCCGAATAGTCCCATTGAGGTCCTGACTTGGTACCCCTCCCTCTGGTTTTCTTAAATTTAATGTGGATGGCGCTTGCAATAGAGGCGATGGACGCTGTGGCATCGGTGGGATCTTGAGAAATGATCTGGGGGAGTTTTTACTTAACTTCTCCGGTCCAGTTGGCACAGGCTCTCCCCTTCTGGCAGAATTGATGGCCATCAAATTTGCAGGTAGTCTTTTTCTCAATTCAGTGTGGCTTTATAAGTATCGTCTTGTGATTCAAAGTGATAGTAAAGTAGCCATCGAGTGGATTCTTGACCCCTCCAAAGCAAACGCAACCTAGTCGAATCTGGTGGAAGAAATTCATGGCATGCTCCTACTTGATCAATGGGTTTTACGCTCCATTTCTAGAGTCCAAAATATAGAAGCGGATAAACCAGCGAAAGAAGGAATTTCCAGACTAACAACAGTCGTTAACTTGGCAGATTGAGACTGTAGTTGGCTTTCTTTTAGATTTTAATCTCTTGGTAGGTCTAAAAGATTGCTTGGCTCTTCCATTATGATAACCCTATGACAAGGATTGGACCCTTCTGCTCCTTAGAAAGGCCTTTCGGAAGATGCGTATTTACCAAGTGACGTGACTTGTTTTTTATGAACTTGTTTGCTCGGCGGACATCTGTAGTTTACCTTGGACTCGCATTGCTCCAGTTGTTGTCTCTTGTGCAGAGGCTGGTGATGACGTTGTAATCATGATTTGAAAGAGGGCTTTAAATAGTTGAGCTAAGTGTGAAAGTTGGTATTCAGAGTCCGACTATATGTGCTGATGGAAAAGTTATTATGTGGTTTTAGCTGGCGAAGCTCCTGAAGTAAACCAAAGATGGGTTTTAGGAAAACAAGTCAAGAACTGTATCCCCAAAGAACTAGCCGGGGCTCTTGCAATTAGATTAAAAGGCTGTTGGCGGTGCATTTGATGAACGCTGCATTGAGTGTTGTGGCCAGGTGTGTGTAGACCTTCGGTGGCCTCGGCTTTTGCCTCCTCGTGTCTCGGCTCGCTTTTCAGTTTGGGTAAAATGGATTTGGTGCACGGGTATACCCCTTTGAATTGTTATCAGTCTGTATGTATGCAATGCAGTTGGAATGCTCAATGCTTGGCGATGAATCGGTCTTACACCCATGTAATGATCCTCACTTTACCTTGTCAAGGTCATATGTAAAGTGTACTGTCGGTGTATCTTTACTCTTTGGTTGTGTTGTAGTGTGTTGGTTGCTTTAGTTTGAACAATGTAGGTGTATTGTGTAACTGTTTATGTTTTAAATAAAGTTTATGGGTACTCTTTTTCCCTTCTCGATTGAGCCTGGGAAGTTTTTAACGAGCACTTTCATTAATAATATATATATCATACAAAAACTAAAATTTAGTTTATTTTTTAAAATTTGATCTTTAAACAAATCCGTTAATTTCTATGAAAAGGCTTTGTTATGATTCAAGAAAATGTAGTGGGTCGAAATGTTGTTTTTTTTTTCCACCGCCGGCAATTCGATGATCCTTCGTTTACATATAATCATAATTTCGAGACACAAATTTCCCTCTTATCAAAAGAAATTAAAAAACTGCGTTATGATCATTAAATAGATGACCAAAAACACGTATATGATCACCTAATATAATGGATTTACAACTAGCGATGAGGTAATCGTTCATGTTTCAGTCGTGTTTTGGTAGATCAAGTAAAATTGGATACATGTCGTGTCAGGTCATTTTGATGGTTGGACTCGGATCAGGTCGGGTTCAAGTCAAATCAGGTTCAGGTCATTTTCAAGTTGATTTGACATTAGATTCAGTTCGGGTTCAGGTCGGGTTAATTTCAGTTCGGGTTCAGGTCGGGTTAATTTCAGTTCAGATCGATGTCAGTTCAGGTCAAAACGGTTCAGCTCCGAAACATTTAAACACCAGGTTAATTCAGGTTCAGATAGACTTCAGTTAGATCTCATTCAGATCGGGTGACATGATTGGCAGATAAAATTTAGGTCGGATCTTTAACGGATACAGATTGACTTCAGGTCAGGTCATTTTTATTTTTGGATTAATTATTTTTCTTCTTTCGTGAACGTTGAATTGCAATTAGTAATTGTATATGATTTAGAGTAAATTACTAAAAATATAGATAATTATGGATCAAATTTGATAAAAATATAATTTTAAGGATTAAATTAAACCAATATGAAATTACAAGTAAAAATTTAAATAAATTAAACAATATGCATCGATGAGGGACAAAATCGAAATAATTTTAAAATGTGAGGTTGAAAATAATATAAAAAGGACTAAATTATACCCATTTAAAAAGTTATGGAACAATTACAAAAATATAAATAAGTATGGGCCAATTTCATATGCAAATATAAATTTAAGGATTAAATTGAATAAATATAAAATTATAAATAAAAATTTAAATAAATTAAAGAACACAAAGAGATCAAAT